GCCAAGATATGCGCGGCGGCCGCTCCGGCGGCGGCGCCGCCGTCGGCGTCGAGCAAGGGTCCGCGCCGCCGCCGCCCGCGCCGGGCCCAAGGGCCGGCCCGGCCGGCGCCGCGGCGGCGTCGCCGGCGGCGGCTTCGCTCGGGAGGGCGTCCTCGCCAACACAGACGACCCCCGCGCGCGCGGCCGCCGCCACGAGCAGGCGCGCGCAGTTGGGCTTGCCGCTGGCCAGCAAAAACAGCAGCAGCCGCCGCACGTCCTCCGCATACGCGCCGCGGTCGCCGTCGTCGCCGCCGCTGCCGCGGCTGCCGCGCACTGCGCGGCCGGCGAGTGCGTGCGAGTAGTCCAGCAGCAGCGGGGCCACGTGGGCTGCAAACGACTCGCCGGGATCCGGCGGCGCGGCAGGAAAGGCCGTGCCTGCCGCACCGCTGGGCCCCACGTTGGGCGCGGCGCGCGTGGCGTCAAGGGCGGCGGGTAGCAGGGCCTGCACCTCGGCGCAGCAGGCGGGGCTAGGGAGGAGCAGCAGCGGGAGCGCCGCGACGAGCGATCCCGGGCCGGCGGGGCTGTCGGGCTGCTTGCAGCTCTGGTAATCGCTGCTGCTGCTACCGCCGCTGCTACGGCTGCGGCCGCGGCTGCCGCCGCTGCCGCTGCTGCCGCCGCCATCGCCGCTGCTGCGGCTGCCGCTGCCGCCGCGGTCGCCGCTGCGGCTGCGGCTGCGGCTGCGGCTGCGGCTGCGGCTGCGGCTGCGGCTGCGGCTGCGGCTGCGGCTGTTGCTGCGGCTGCCGCTGCCGCTGCCGCTGCCAGTGCCGCAAATGCTGCCGCTGCCGCAGCTACTGCCGTCGCCCTGAACACCGCTATTCGCTCCGCTGCAGTTGCTGCCCGTGCAGGCGCCGCGAGGGTAGGCGTCCAGCGCAACCTGCTGCTGCTGCAGATGCTGCTGCCGTTGTGAGCCGTCAGGGCCAACGGGTGGCTCACGATAATCGTCCCCTGACAATCCGCTGTCGCTGTCAGAGCCGTTGCCGGCGTCGACGGGCAGGCGCCCGCGTGCACCTTGCTCGGCGCCGCTATCCTCCTGCCACCGCCGGAGCAGGATCATGAGGAGGGGCAGGTCCGCCGCAGCCAGCGAGTCCAGGGGCGGCAGCGGGAGTTGGAGGGGCACGTGTGCCGAACCCTGCTCGCCGCTCGCGGCGCACAGCGCGGCGAGCTGTGCATGGGAGGCGAGCAGCGCCTCGGGCGCCGCTGTGACGCCGCCCTCGCCGGCGGCGAGAGCTGCGGTGATGCCGCAGCGGTTGGCCGCGAGGTTCGCCGCAAGCGCGCGCGGCACGCGCAGCTCGACGTGCGTCGGCAGCGGCAGCGCGGGGCGCGGCAGGGAGGCGCCGGGGGCGGGTTCGGGGCCGGTGCAGACCGCGAAAGGCATCGGATAAGGATGGCCGGTGTGCGAGGGGGGCGGGCTGCTTGTGCTGCAGGAGGGTGCGGCCGCATGCGGGGCCGGGAGGACCGCTGCGCTGACGAAACTGATGGGCTCGAGGCTGCTGCCCTGAGAGCTGTCGCCTTCAAAATCCATTGATGGCTCTGACTGTGTTCCTACGGTTAGGCGGATCGGGGGATGTCAGAGCGTGTCGTGCGCCCGAGGGCGAGGCCTCTCGGCGCCATCACGTAAATCAACAGACCTGCAGTGTCGTGGATGGTGCTGAACAGCCACATAAGGCCTCAGTGCGGACCGAATCGGGACGGAACGGTGATCACAGAGGGTGTGCTTGCTTGATTTCGGACATACCGTACAGTCGCATGTTAGGTATCTATATGTAACAGCTTAACATGAAGATTTTCATCTCTGTCAATGTCTTTGAGATATCAGAGCAGAGAGTGCACGCCCTGCAGTTCGAGGTTCTTTCGGCCTTCCGGAATCTGCGCCTTTCCCCGAGGAGCACGCCGCTGACACGGCCAGAACAGACTCAGCTGGATATTATACCTGATTTCCTCTGTGCCAAGCTGCCTAACCTGCAGCTGCATAGCACTGTGTCATGGCGGGCGGCACGTCCAACTCAATCTGGCCACTGCTGCTTGAGAGCGCTGCAGCCGCTGCTGTGTGTGCTTACGTGTGCATGCGGATCGAGCCTGCACCTGTCTATGTCAGTATGTGCACTGTTGTTGCCCTGGCTGCGGGTGCGCTAGCTCCTGCAGGCGCCGCAGCCATGGGCGCGCTGCTTTGCCAGCGACGTCGCCCCTGGACGCTGGCCGGCGTGCCGCAGCTGCCACAGGCGGCTGCGCCGCCGTCCCTGCCGCCGCAGCAGCCGCAGCGCAAGACCTTGAAGGAGGACAGTACACTGGGGCCGCCGGGGCCGCCCCCGCTCGAGCCCCCTGGCGGCGGCAAATGCGGCGGCGGCGGCAGCGGCGGCGGGGCGCGGGAGCGGGAGCATGATCAGGCGAATATGGTGGCGGAGGGTCCCTGCTGCATCGATCTGTACGAAATCATCTGCGCAGTCAAACGCCGCGCCAAGGCTGCAGAGGGTGGCTCGGTCGCAGGGCTGCAAAGCGCCTTATACTCATCCCCCCGGCCCAGACGCCGCCCTGCAATAAGCCTGAGGCTGCAGCCCCATGCGCTGGGCGCGGCAGCCACGGAGGTCCCGCACGGCGGCCGCGCATCAGATCCGGTCGTGCCCGGGCCGCACTGAGCAGTGATGGCATGTATTTGCTTCGTGGCAAGGCGCGTGCAAGCGCGCGTGCGCCCCTGGCGCAGCGCACTTGGGTCGCCTGCCGGCGCCGCAGGACGGCCGGCGGCGCCGACGGCTCCGGGCGATTGGGGCCAATCAGCACGGCAACTGTTTCCAGCGGTGATGCGACCACAGCAGGAGCCAAGAATCGCTGCGGGGCACCACGCGCCCTGCCGCAGGCCTGCCCGGCACGATCCGCTTTGCGCCACCGCAGCCGCCGCCCTTAGCGCCACGTCGGCGGCGGCGTGGGGCCGTAGCAGCTGCGCGACGGCCCCTGCATGGCGCCGGCATGCAGCGGCCTTCCAGCCCTCCACGTCACCTGTGTGCTTGTTTCACACACTCACCCACACCCACATTTACGCACACACGACACTGACGCGCCTCATTGAGCGGCTCTTGACGGCCGCCCCTTGCCAGAGCTGCCTACTGCGTGGCCGCTGAATGACGGCCGGCAGCTCAGGGTACCGCTGATACGCGCGATTAGTTGGCTCGCGACACCATCGCAAACCCGTGCATCGCCGGATGTCTTGCACACGCGTCTCGCAGCTGCTACGCAAATGGGCACACCAAAATGTGTGCGCGCTGCTTCTCCGGCCCTTGTGCGGAGGGGAGGTTGCCGCCTTGGTGTCCCGGGTGAGTGCCGGTAACGAGCCGGCGGGCCCACGGCCGCCATGTCCACGCCCGCAGCCAAACAGTGTCGGTCGATGCCGCCTGTTGATGATTGTTTATCTGCACCAACAATCACCCGGTCTTCTGCCTTTGAACGAAACAAGGGGAGCAGCCAACCATCACCTCTTGCCAACCACCAGTACCGAACCGCCTCCATACTCGTCGGTTGCATACTATTGTTTTGCCTTTTCCACTCTGGGACCTGCCTGCCCCACTCAGCGCGCCCCAATCGAGGGGACGCCCACGCCGCCCCTCAGCACCCCGCTAGATGGGGCTTGCAACCAACCTCTTGCGCCACGCACAGCCTCGGTCCCAATTCTTGTGCTGTGCCAAGCGCACAGCCAGGCCACAGTTCCCAACCACCCATCCCCCTTGCCACCTGGGATGCTATCACAAGAGTTACTAAAAGGAACCACCGTTTTTTTTGCCATTTTTTCTGATAGAGCTCTCGTTGCTCATGTGCCTTGTTTGGTATTAATGATTGGCCGGTTGCTATAAAATCGTCCACCTTTGTAAAGTGCTTTGGCGCCGCCGCAGCATGCACCGGCACACTTGAGAGACGCCAGTCGACAAGTATGGTGGTGTCGAGTTTCCCACTCACTAGCCCCTCAGCATCTCAGCATGCATTGACGTCACCAGACAGGCCCGTACCTGCTGGCGCCCTGGACGCCTGCACCACATCATCAGGCACGAGCAAGCGCTTGACCAGCGGCTGCCAGGACACAGGGGCCCGCATTTGCTCTCGTCCTGCGCTGTACGCCGCAGTCCCACGCCTATGGGCAAGCATGCCTGCTTGTAAGTCGATGTTGCATTGCGGGCTGAGGTATCCGGTGCAGCAGAGCGGCCATGCACATGCGCATGCAGCCATGCAGCCGCAGTTTTTGCTGCTGCGATGGCAGGAGAGAAACAGGCAGGTGTGCCGGGCAGTAAACAATGGGCTCTCCTGCTCTCGCAAAAAGGAGAGCAAGAAATGCATGCAATGTATAACAGCCACTCCTGGCTCGCTGCCCACAGGAGCGAAATAAGCACCAAAAAATGATTGAGGAGCCGGTGGCCTTTCGACACAGGCCTGCTGCTGCCCCGCTGCCCAAGCAGCCAAACGCGGGCGCGCACAATCCGAAGGGCCGCAGTCGCGGGTGGAAGCGGCGGCGGCGTCAGCAGTTGCGTCACTGCTGCTGCGATTTGAGCTGCTGCAGCACCGCGCGGGACGCCGCGATGTCGGCCCTTAGCTCATCCACGATCGCCTGCGAGCGGCGCGCGTCAGATCAGATCGCGAGATCGTTCGGCGGGTCAGACAACAGGGCGCGGCCGCGGCGGGCCGAGGGCGCAGGGGCCCGGGGTCGTGGCAGAGTGCGAGCATGCCCGGATCCTGCAGAGCTTGGCAGGCAGTGGGTGGCGCGATAAGACCTGGCCGGCGTGGCCGCAGCTAGAACAGGGGCAGTGCGGCTTCTGCAGCCCCTGAAAATTTGAGGACCACCTCACCTGAAGGTCTGTGGGCGCCGTGTTGTACCCCCGAACCCCGTCCCCTGCGCCGCCCGTCGGGAGGGCGCCGCCACCACTGCTGCTGCCGGCCGGGGCGCCGCCGACGAGCGCCGCCGCGGGGCCGGCGCCGGCGCCGGCGCCGGCCGCCCCCAGCTCCTCGCGGACGAGGGATTGCACCTCATCCTGCAAAACCATGGGGCAGATAAATCAATCCAACGCAGTACCCGGGCCATACAAAAGATAGCAGCCGCACCGCCAGATGTGGTTTTTCCGCGCGCCTGCAGCAGTGGCGGCCGGCACTCGCGACGCCGTTCTGCAGCGTGCCCTGGCAGCCAAGCACTGGCGCACCGCAGCCGCCCCCACGGCCGCCCGCGCGGCCGCCCGCAGCGCCGCTTCGCCGACGCGCGCGCCTCGCGGTAACACGGCGGAGCCCGGGGCCTGGCCGCGCACCTGAAATTTCTGCAGCTGCAGGGGAAGGTCTGTGGCCGCCCTGCTGGCGTCGCCTAGGGCAGAGGCGGCCAGCTCCCCCAGCCGCGTGTTGAGGACTGTCGCGAAGGCTTTGCCATAGTAGAACGCCTCCAGGACGCTGCGGGATGGGTTGTCTGCGCATGCGGCCGAGGAAGGGCGGGCGGCTGCAGCTGAGGGCTCGCTGGGCTGTGCAGAATTCACGGTCGTGCCAGTGGCTGCGGTGTTGGCGGGTGGCGGCACGCATGATGCAACGCAGGCCGCTCCGCACGGAGTCAAACTCATGCCGCGACATGTACATGAGCCCGACGCGCACCAGGCAGGCTCGCGGCCGCTGCGACGTGCAGCGCCCGCCGCGCGCGCTGCGGGCGCGGCGCTGCCCGTGGTGTAGAGGCTGCCGCGAAACGCTGGGACGCCGCATGCCGCAGCTGAGATCGCTGCATCATGGTGGTTGTACGCCGTATGTAAAATCGATTACAGCGTGTGAAAAAGACGCGTGTGGTCGTCGAGTACGCGTGAGGTCAGTGTTGTGCGAAGCAAGGGGGTGCAGGGCAAACTTGCGGCTGAATTTCTTTGAACTTAAAGAAAGGCGCAGGGATCATTGAATTGACAGACGGGTGAGTGTGGTGATCTCAGTGACAATGGCGGTACTAAACTTTGTGCTGCAGCTTCCAGACTCCATCAAAGTGTGCAGTTACACCTTGTTATTCATAACCTGATGGCAGCTACAGAGACGAAGAGGCACTGGCAGGGTGGCAACGAGTCAATGGATGGCACACATTGCTGCATTGACCGGCTGTCCCTTCTTCGTCTACTGGCAGTGCAGCATCAACACTACCGATCACAAGTCACTTTGAGCACCGCGACACGGGGGCGAACATCACCCGGCTGCTGACCCCGCGTCTCCGCTGCACCCGACAACCGTGACAACCGTATCCATCAGATATCCAAAGAATGCGCCAGCTCGAAGCTGTGCAGGAAGACAAGCTTACAGAGTACACACGCCAAAAGACAGTGGCGGCTAGAGCCAAATCGCCTTCAGCAGTTCGTTGTGAACGGGATCCTCTCAACTCGCCTGCTCTGGGCACACAAGCGCTGGCAAACGTGCAGCCAAGCTCGACCTGGCCGCCCCAGGATGGGGCCCCGCTCAGCACGCGAAAGCTGACAGGTGGGACCATGGGGTCATTCCCGGGCGGGTGCGGAGGCCCAGCTGCTGCGGGCGTGAGGCCCGTGCCGCCGGCTCGCAGCCGTGGGGCCGCCGGAGCAGATTCCATAGGGGTTTTTAGGGGTTGGTTGCTCGCAACAGGTGCGCAGTTCTGGAAACGGGGATCGTGGAGCGCGGCCAGACGGGCGGGATGGGACGACGGTCGCCTCCTGTAAGGTTCATAAGGTTTTGGATGCCTGCTGCCGCGTTACCGGCGCGGCGCTGCTCGTCGATCCTCCTTGTCGAAAGCACGTGCAGGGCACCCATATGCCCCGAGCCTCGTAAAGGCCGGGGGTGACGCACTCGGGCAACCGGTGGCACACCAGAGGCGCACACCGGATATCTCGGCAGCCGTCGCGCACAGGGCGCGCGGCTCACACAAACAACCATCGCGGGGCAGCTGCGGTCAGCCAGCCCGGCCCAGCTGCCGCCGGCCATGGGGATCGCGCCCAGGCCGGCGGCTCGCCGGCGCCCGGGCCGGGGGGTTCGCGACGCGCGCGCCGCTCGCGCCCTGGGGCAGCGCGACAGCGGTCGATTTCTGACGCGTGGCGTATCAAGCTGCGCGGGATGGAGGAGGGGCCGCCTGATAATGAAGGGTCCTCCTCAGTCCCACGGAATTTGCAAGCGGCAGGCCGCAGCCATTGCTGCAGGCGGTGGATCACAAGTTCTAAAACTGGCGCATGCGGCTGGAGGTGAGCAGGGCCTGGATGGGGTGGGGTGGGCAGGAGGGCCTGCATGGACCGCTCGCGCGGGGCGGCGGCGCGGGTAAAGAGGGCGGAGCGCGCGGCTCCGTGTGCGAGCGCGCTGCGCCCCGCGCACGGGAAGTGAACGACGGTGCATGCGCCAGCCGGCACGGCTGGCGCAAGGGATGAGTGGAGGCTCTGAGAGGGCCGCCCGCCAGCCGGGCCGCGAACTACTGTGGCGGCCCAGGTGGCGGCGGGGCATCAAAGCAGCGGCCCTTTACGGACCCGCCGCCCATGATCTGAAGGCATTGGTCGCGCAAGTTCGTTGACGGAGGGTGAGGGGGCGCTCGCAAGGCAGCGGCGGCGCCGCTGGCAGCAGGCGAGGATACATGCCGCCCAGATGTGGCCCCGTGGTGTCGGGGCATGCAGCAGGCCAAGTTTGGAGACCTGGGGGTGATTAAGACAACCTCGCGCTCAGATGGGCGCGGAAGTGGGATGGGCGCGGAAGTGGGAAAGAGTCGTCGCAAGGCAAAGGCAGAGGCTCGCGCAGGTCGCCGCGCTGCAGGGGCGGCGACGTAACGCCGCCGCCCCCAAGGCGAAGCGCGCGGCGGCGCCGCCAGGCACCTGCTGTGGTGCGCGCAGCACGCGTTGGTGCGTCGCGCGGGCGCTCATGTCTGCGCTGTCTGCATCAGGCGCATCGTCATCATTGATACCGATTGCAGCTGCGGCGGCGTCCCCGTCGCCACCAATTCAAATACCTGCTGGCCCCCGCCGCTCGAGGCCGCTCGTATTCCGATCATGCAGCCCGTGACCGCAGAGATTGTCGGGATGTGCGACTGCAGCATCTGCGCCTGCGGCGGCAGCAGGCGCAGTACGAGCTGTGGGGGTCGGCGTGCGGCGCCGCTGCCGCTATTTGGTGCGCTGGAGGTGGTTCGGGGCATTGGCGGGAGCAAAGCGGAGGCCGCCGATGCTAGGCGCCGCTGCTGCTGCTGCTGGTGCTGTGGGTGTGCTAGCATGGGGTGCTGCTGCAGCTGCTGCTGCTGTTGCAGCTTCTGCTGCTGCTGTAGCTGCTGCTGCTGTAGCTGCTGCTGCTGAAGCTGCTGTTGCTGCTGCTGCTGGAGCTGCTGCTGCTGGAGCTGCTGCTGCTGTTGCTGCTGGAGCTGCTGCTGCTGGAGCTGCTGCTGCTGGAGCTGCTGCTGCTGCTGCTGCTGCTGCTTGAGCTGCTGCTGCTGGAGCTGCTGCTGCTTGAGCTGCTGCTGCTGATATGCAAGCAGTGGGTGCTGCGGCTGCTGGTGCTGCTGGTGCTGGTGCTGCTGCCGTTGTTGCTGAAACGCCAGCAGCAGATGCTGCTGGGGCTGCTGCTGGTCCTCATGCTGCTGCTGCTGCTGCTGCAACACCTGAAGCTGCAGCTGCTGCTGCGGTGCCTGACCCAGCACAATTGGCATCGCCAGCCCCTCCAAGCTGCCGCTGCCGCACGATGCCGCCGCCAGGTCATCAGCCTGACCTGCTGCCACCCACGCGCCGTCGCCGCTCGCGAGGCCGCCCGCAAGGTGGGGCCCGCTGTCCGGGCCCCAAATTTGCGGTGCCGAGTTGTGCTGCGCGGCAGCGTGAACCAACTGCAGGTGTCGGGGGCGCACGAGCGGCGGCGAACGGGGGGCGGTTAAGCGGGGGTGCACGAGGAGGGGGGGGGGCGCATGGCTGAGCGGCGCCCGTTCGTCCGCAGCGCAGCAGGTTCCGCAGCAGGGTGAGGTGCGCTCGCGCGCGGCACGCTCACCTGCTGCGGCGCCTGGAAGCTGAAGGGGTGGCCAATCTGCTGCCCGCCGAGCGCGCCGCAAGCGTCCCCCAATTGCAACCCGCCATCGCCGCCGACGCTGCTGCTTGTAAGAGCGGAAGCAGCAGGGAAACGCAGGCTTGCATAGCTCCCGGCGCTGCTGAAAGGGGCCACCACGGCGTCAGTGCCGGCGACACCGACGCGGGGGCCGGGGCTCGGGGCGCCGCAAGAGAAAGAGGCATCGCTGACGGCAGCAGAGGCGCAGGCGGCGTCGCCCCCGCCGCTGAAGTTGACGCTGCCGTCGGCGGCGATGAATGCAGTGCCGGGCGGCAGCACCGCGACCACCTGCATGGGCTCTGCCGCGAGGAATGGCGCCGGCGGCTGCGCCGGAAACTGCGCCAGCGGCTGCGGCTGCGGCGCCTGCACCCGTGCAGCGCCCGCCGCGTCAAAGGCGGGCACGTACACGACGCGCGGCTGCTCCGTCGCCGCCGGCCATGCGGCCGCGGCGCCCACAGGGGGCGCGAGCAAGGGCGGCGGCTGGGCGGGGGTCGCGGGGGTCGCGGGCGCCTGGAAGCTGGCGGGCAGCTGCAGGAAGCTGGGGCCCGGCAGGGTTGCCGGGGCGGAGAAGTTTGCGTCGGCATGAACGCCGTTTGGAAGGGACGCCCCCGAATGCGGGGCGCCGCCCATGACGCCGGACTCAACCAGCATACTGCCACTTGAGCCCGGCGGCGCGCGCGGCGCCGCTCGCCGCTGCTTAACGGCGGCGGCAGCTACTTGAGACGGCGGCGCGGCCACGGGCGCATGCTGGGCCGCTGCCGCCGCCGCCGCCGCCGCGCGCTCGGCCGCGGCGGCCGCCTTGCTCGCGGCGGCGCCGTCGCGCTTCGCGCCCAGCTTCTCCGGTGCCATCCATTCCAGCACCATGGGCGCGTCCGCGCCCTCCCAGACGTGCTTCCCGTTGAGCGCCTCGCGCGCCGCGGCGGCGCCGGCGGGGGTCGCCATGGTGATGAGCCCGCAGCCTTTCGAGGAGCGCGCCGTCGCCCAGGCGCGGAAGAGGTTGACCTCCTCTACGGGGCCGAACGCCTCGAAGGCGCGCCGCACCTCTTCAGGCGCCGCGCTGGGCGCAACCTTTGCGAAAAAGAGCTGATGAGCAGAGGGATCGGGGTGTGTCAGGGGAGGGAGAGGGGTTAGGCGGTGATGGGCCTGGCGCGAGACGGCGAGCCCAAGGGCAGGAGTCAGGCGCGTCGCGCACAGGGTCATCCGAGCGGCGGGAACGCACCGTCCGTTCGTGCTTGTCGCCCTCGGCGGCGCCGCCGCTGCGGTTGGTCGCCGGATGCCTGCTGCCGGCGGCGTCCGATGCGTCAGCATCAGGGACAGGCTCCGCTGGCGCTACGCCGTGCGCAATCGCCTGGCATGCGGAGCTGGGCCGCGCTCCACTGGTGTCTCCATCGACCTCAAAGCTCCCTGGCTTGTCTGCAGGCTGCGGCTGCACCTGCTCTGAGGTGCGCATCTCGCTTTGGGTGCGTCGCCGCAGGAGCGGCTCTGCGCGTGCTGCCGCGGTGCCAGCAGCCTCCCATGAAGCTGGCTGAAGTCCGAAAAGCACAAGGGCGGCTTGCAGGGGAGGCGGGACCATCCAAGCCGCGTGATTGCCTCAGTCGAAATCAGGGATCAGCAGCCCCGCATCCCGTGTGAGGGCGATCGCAAATACGAAAAACAACTGTTATTACTTTTACTGCTCAGCCCGTGACCTACGACGCGAGTGTCGGCGTACGCCAATTGTAATCGGGGGGATTATAAGAGCACGTCGCTGATGAAGTGCGTTCTTGTTGCGACCTGTGTTCTTTCAAGCGTGCTGCGCATGCATCAAGGGCTGAGCGCCGATGACTGCCTGGCGTGCGGGCCGACTCGGCACGCAGGCGTGCTCCCCCAATTGGCGGGCGAGCCAACCAACGCTCAACAGGGGCTCACGCGGCAATCCAAGGTTGTTGACTGGACCTCTGCGCAACAGCAAGCCTGTTGGCCCTGCGCATCCACATGCCGCTAGCAAGATGACACACAGCGAGCTGGCGCCACCGCACCACCTCCTACCCAAGACCCAAGTAGTGACGCCAGTCGTGCCGCGTCTGGTTGACCCAGCAACAGGCAAGAAAAGCCAGGCTTGGACCCAGGCAGCATCCGAAGTACAACAACAGGCTAAATGAGGGGCCTTGGTTCCGGCCCCCCGAGATTTGCACTGTGGGCGTCACCACCGTCACTGATTACACCGATCCCGCCAAGCTCGCTCCCGGGGGGCCCAGGCATGCTGCTGCCAACAAGCCTGCCGCTCGCGCGTCATCGTCAGCCAGAGGACGCATTCGCGAACCGGCGCACGAGGTGCGCGGAGTTGTGCCGCTGCCGCTTCGCTGGTCGAGAGCAGCTGGCCGAGGCCCACACCCATGCCTCGGCCTGGCCTCCTCTCTCATTGGCCCTGCTCACAAATGGTGCCTGCGGCTTGGGCACCAGAAAAAGGCCGCAACGCTCAGGAGCGCAGCCCGTGCTGATTTGGGATCGTTTGGGGCTTTGGGGTTTACCCGACATCACCCTCGCACTTGGGCATGGGCACGGCGCGCAGCAGCCCCTGTGCTGCTGCTCTGCTCGCAACCCCCCTGCCTGCGCCCTCATCGGCCGTGGGGCCATCCTTACGTCAGCTAACAGCGGCCCCGCGACGCGTGCTGCGCAGCTGCCCGCGCAGCGCCCGCCGCCACCACCAAACACCAATCGGCCTCCGCCTTGCAACTGTCCTTTCGTGCGTTGCTGGTTGATGGCATGTCTCGCGATGCTGCCCACTGCGCTAGCCGATGGTGGCACGCCCGACGTTGCCAACTCATCAGGTGGAGAAGACCGCCCCTGGCTGCTCACGATTACAGGCAGCGTCGAGAGTGTGCGCGCGGGGGCGGACGACCGCTGTAAAGAGAAAACCCGTGAGTGAATCAATCAACGCCGCAGTAAGGGTGTGCCCAATTGGGCGCCAGCAAGCTTGCATTCAGTGTTGAATCAGGAATGACAAAGGGCGGAGAAGAGCTGCAGAACAGCGCAAGATGTGAGGTGGAGCTTTCGTAAACGAGAGGGGCGGAGCGGAAACGGGGGGCTGGAGTGGCCCGCAGCGCCGAAAGGGGGTGTCAAAATGGCTTCCGCAGCAGGCGCGGGGGCCCAGCCGGCCGACCCAGGCGCGCTCTCGGTGCCAAGCGGTGCCTCGGCATAACCGCTCAGCCAAGCGCTGCCGTCGGGGCCCGGTGGAAACGAAATAGCACCGCCCCTTGCCCCTGGAATGGGCAGACAGTTCGCGACGGCCGACCGCGCCCGGGCTATGCACGCCGCAACCCTGCTAGCTTACGTCATGCCATGCCATGAAAGGGCTCGGTAAGCCTAGGCGCGCGCGCGCGCGCGTCCATGGTCGGGGCCGCGCGCGCGCGCCCGCCACAAAAAAAGTTGGTTCGTTTCGGATGAGCGGCGGG